ATACTATATTATACTGTTAAGTTTGTCATGCCTGTTAGTCTTCCTTCCACATCTAAAATATAAACCCACTGAGGGCACAGAGCAAATGTGCACTTTCTATAATACAAAGAACTAAGCACAAATAAAATGCTCAAAAACAACAACAACAAAAAACCCCACTTTGTTCACTTGACATGGGGAACATATGCATAATCTTACTGCTAACTCTTCTTGTCTCTTCAGCACTTTCAGACATGGCATCTTTGTGTTCTTGGGATCATCTTCAAAATACCACAGAATCAGATTATACTGGAAATAAGTGAGGACTTTACATTTCCAATACTAGGATCCTTCTGGATTCTGGAGGGGATATGTGTGGCTGCAGGGAAAGTTGCTGTGAGCTTTGAGCATTGCAGCTGGATCAAACCTAGAGAGCTAGCATCTCACCAGGCTGCTCAGAGTGGCATTAAAAGCTGGTAAAGGTGAGCAATTGCAAGCCACTCTTTTTTGGTAAGTGCTTTTATGGCTTAACCACATTTTTTTTTCATTCCTGTTAATAAATTATGGAAAATAACTTGTTGTGAAAACTAAAATACATTCACATCAACTTCCTAGATTTTTAGAAGGTAAAGATACATATGACTTCTAGTTCACCCAAACTAAGCATGATTAAGTGATTAATGATAAATATATCCAACTTAATATATATTAGCATTCATAGACCAAATAGTTATTGATCTTCTAACATATATTTAATACTTTATTAAGCACTGTACATGAACCTTATAACCCCTCTTGATGCCTATAATTTAGGTGGTTAATGAGAGAACTGCATATGACCCAACCAACAAATAATGCAGAGAGGTATAATCTAATGTTATACCCAGGTTAATACCAAGTCACTGCTACTAATAACTGAATTGATATTTAGAATTTAGTTGCAAGCCTAAATCCTTGTTAATGCTTAAATCCTAAATCATTAGAGCTGCTAACACTTGCCATGCATTAGAAGATCAATTTTAAAATCACTGCTATATTTTATACCACTGAGATGAGATATTCTTGAAGCTACCCGTAAGTGCAAAATATGTCTAGAAATACCCATTTCACATAAATTTAGACCCAATAAATCATATTTTCAACAGCCATAATTTCTACAGGCGGGCTGAGATTTATGGTTAACCTGCCTTCCAGTTGAAAGCAAAGGAGAAGTATAAAATTGGAATCTTTTAATATATCTTGATCAACCAAGATGACAAGTCCAAGTGCATTCAATACATTTTCCTCTGGTATATTCTAATTGGATTTGCTGATAAAATTTCTTTCTTCTAGTCTCTTCCTGTATAACAAAGGAATTGTTCAAATAATTCAGGCAAATCCTTCCCACTCCTATATCACTCCTGCAACATTTTAAGTAACCAAAATGAATCAGACGAAATCAAGTGGCTTTTTTAAAAAAGCATAATTATTCAGATAATTTCCTCAACCCTCCATTTCACTTTCCCTGTGAGGATAAGGCCTTAAAAGACTTTCCAGCCAGAAACAGCACTAAGTAAAATATGTGCAAGACCAAGGAAGTTACAATATTTCACTCTAAGACTAATCTTTAGCCAGTCCAACGTAGATGAATATTTAATGTATTAAACTAGAAATCTGGAGGTTACTCATATTCATATTTTAGAAGTCTATTTTCTCTATTTTAAAAGTATTCATCTTAGGATTTAAAAGAAAGTGAATTCCTTCAGTGTATTTATGATGATCTGATTTACATACAAGTTTTTAAGGACTGTATTGGGTTAAAATAGAATGATACTTTGAATAGCTGTTTATTCAGATTTCTGCTACTATATACCCTCTCCTGCCTGAATTATCTATGTAGCTCAAAAGGAAGCTGGACTGAAGTTAAATCCAGATAGACCATCCCTGCTGTCCTAATTCCCCAAACAATTCCCAATTCTCCCTCCCCCTTACAGTGTGCTGAAAGGCCTGGTGAAAGAAAAGATAGTACCATATAAAATTACCCTCCTAGGAACTCTTCAGCATCCCCACAATCAAGAATCACTGTGAGCAACTTGTAAATTTACATTCTAAAACCCACTGGCAAAGCTACCAATAGAACCTCATCCCTCCTCAATCTTTGTCTATTTCTTTAAACAGAAAAACCTTATGTTAGTGGAGAGATTATTCAAAGAGTCTCCTTATAAACCCATGAATGCCACTTCACAGACTACAGAAAGCAGAGCTCTATGAACCATACAATGGAGTCAACTCATCTTTTCTAAAAGCTCAGCAACAGCCTTAAAGAGAACTTAATTTGTTCCAATTCCTAGGTCTCTGTTAACACATAATGAGCCCATGCTTTATGCCACTATGAGTCCATGGCACACACATACTCAGAGGCAAGTTTCCTGCACAGAGGGTAGGCATGCTGAAAATCAGAACTTAACCTTGACATTTTTCAAACTATTCAATAAAACCATCTATGCATTCTAAAGTATTTTCTTCTCACTGACGTATCAAAAGCAGGTAACTTTAAAATAAAACATCTAAGTAAATACCAAGGACCCATACAAAACAGTACTCCTGAGTTGCACAATCCCAGGTGCATTGTAATCTATGTAAGTGGCGCCCCCTGGAGTTGTGCTTATAGGGTCCCATACACAGCATATAATGTGATTGGTGCTTCTTACAGCTAACAAAGTGGTTGTATTTTTTTTTTTTTGATAATGCAAAAGGCACTCACTCTAGGATTCATGAGTGAATCTTCAAATTATTGTGAAACATCATTTTAGGGTATGTAAAATGTCTAGCTATCTTGAATTCTGGAGTTCTTTTATGGAAATGAGCCGATTAAAAATCTGTATTTGGCATAAGCCCTTTACTAAAAGGGGTAAATACACTGGCTGTAGATCCTCTATAGTGTTTTAAATTATGGAAATGAAATAACATGTTTAACAGAAAGGGCGTTTTATGTTTTCTAGAGGTAGCCAGGTGTTAAATCTGCTTTCCTAGCAGTGGTTTCTATTGCATGTGGGCTAAGTCTTTAAGTAAGCTAGTTACAGATCAGCAAAATAATTTCAGTTTTAATCAAGGAAAGAATAACTTCATTTTGCCCCAAACTGAAAAAGTGGAGGTACAAAACACGTCTAATATCAGTTTTTTAGAAACAAAATTGAATTTTTTTTTGCATTAATATGTACAAAGATTTTTAAGAGCTCTGACCTCCTGGGATGAGAGAATTGCTAGAAAGTTACTTGGAATCACCCACAGACAATAACTGTCGGTGGTTTCATTTCAGGCAATGGTTGGTGCCAAAAGGAATTGACATCTTGATGAAAGGATCACCAAAAAGTTGTAAGAATTTTTCCATGAGTGAAAATCCTTCCAAGAGCAACAAACTGTGATTTCTCATTCGGCCACCATACATAAATGACAACTGTAAGAAATTAACAACATGTAATAATAATTCGAATTTGCTCTTCTGCATTCAAATCATTCCAACTTTCATTCTCAGCTTTGGCTCACATGCTTGCTTTCCACAAAGCTCACTCCACTCACTGTTACAGAAACATGATACTCTTTGAGCTTGATCTATAGGGCTAGTTTTGGCAGGGTCAGCGGTCGAATTTATGTTTAACCAAACAGGACACCTGACATGTTACAACCATTTATGGTGACACAGAGAGTAAGGTTCTGGGATAAGGTGATGTGGCAAGTCCCGGTAAAAGATAATTAAATAAACAAAAAAACTTTGCAGCAGTTTATTTTATTACCATCCTGGTACTCTGGGACAATGGCTAATTAGGAATGTAATATGAAGTTTGAAACTATTGGCACAAAAACCTTAATCAGTTTAATTTTCTGCTCAACCCTTTTGTTCCTCTAACCTCAAGTCCCTTAATTTGATCATTATTAAAGTCCGAGCAAGAATTATTTTATTTGGTGCTTCGAAATCCACCTGTTGAAATGACTGGTGAGGCATACACAAAAAATAAAGAACCTACTTGATAATAGGATTGAAACTGAACTCATTTAATTGCTTCTGATTCATTTTTCTCCTTGGAAGCTTATACTTGGGTTGTGCTCAAAGAAAACATCAAGTATATCAGATTCAATTTTGATTCATTAAATTCCGCCCTCGTTTAAAAGGAAAAACTAAAACTAAATTTGGAAATCACACAGTCTAAGTGGCAAAGGGGTGTTTTAAAGAGTATAAACATCTGCAGGAGGACATGCTGTATTTATCTGAAAAGTTTCATGACATTTCTATTTTTTTTTCAATTCAACTTATTTGCAAAGAGGAAATTTTTCATAGAAGATAAATATACTTATTTAATGTGTATTTCATCTAATTCTTTAATCAGCCATCAAACACTCAACTGCCTTCCCTGTGGATCATGCTTGTTAAAAAATAGTTTCCCTTTCATTTAGGGGAGAACATGCTTGACTTCTAAAACTGAGCATGTGTCTCTCATAAATCAACAAAAAAAAACAACAAACACAATGCTAATTATATTTGAGATACAGTAGACAGAGTGCATTAATATAAAAGTCCATGTTCTTCATAGATATTGCTCGTAAGGACAGCAGATACCATAGCCATTTGATTAGCTGGACACAGACTCCTACTTTTTGAGTAAGTTCTGGCTGTCTCTAACATCTGACCCATGGCTTTGTTTGAGCCCTGCTGCTGTCAGCCTTTCCTTGCATGTCACAACACATCACTCTTCTTAAAGAACAGAACGGTTTCTGTTGTTCAAGTTAAATAAGTCTTCACTTCTGAAAAAGGAATTTCAGTTTTCTATTCAAGATGATTGAAAATCAAAAGATCTAATTCACCACATCCAATTCATATAAATTACTGCACTGCAAAGCTCCCACATGCTGGAGATAGAACCTTCTAAAGGTCAGATGGGGTAAGAACAATGAAGGGTTGAGGCGGGGTGACGGTGGGTGGCTGACATTTATATGGAATAAAGCCGGAATGAGACTGAGAATCTCCTTGGATGACCAGTTCTTACCATTTTGAGGATCATAGCAGCCTTGGACTTGCACCCTCCCTGTCTTCAGTCCAGGGAGACCAACCTGCAAAATATGTTTAAAATAGTAGACAAATCGCCTCACCACCGGTCAGCAAATGAAGAATGCCTGTTTAGAGGTTACAGACAAATAACCACTTTCTGTGGTTAAGATAAGTTACATGCAAATTACTGTTACTGTGGGGCTTCTGAAAGAGCTTCCCAAGCTGTCTATAGGCTGAAATAGGGGACAAAGGAATCCCTGGTACCTGGCTTTGCAGAACCCTGAGCTATTCTTAGTGTTTGGTTCATTTTTTAAATTGCAGTTCAAAAGGTTTAGCAACTTAAAAGTAGAACCAAGTGATAAAAATAGATTGTTTTCTGGCTGCTCTTTGTTCCCAGACATACTACTGGCAATATATTTGCAATCAAGACAGCAGAATAGGAATTAGCTTTCCACCGTGTAGTGTAATGCCTCAGAGTGGATATTTTTGGAAACGGCACTGCATTACATAACCTTCCGTGTTTGGGGGTGGGGGGGGACTACATTGGGGGAAAAAGTCAGGAATATACACCTTATGCCCTTCTCCCTAAACAAATCAACATTAATGCACATGCTGCAGTGATTTTCCTCTCAACCTTTAGGTCATCACAATACAATTCTTTTGTTAACATAAGTTAGGACAAAAATTAAGATGAATGGAGAAACTAAAAGTTCTCCAAAAGGGTATCATAAGCTCTTAGAGTTTCCCTATGTTATCATACCTACATATAAATGCAAATCCGATTATTATCATTATCAATCAAAAAGCAGTCATCTATTCTTAAGCCACCCCTTCTTCCCCCAAAGTTCGACTGCTTTAAAAGAAAATGCAGGAAAAAAAGTGTTGGAAGATCGAATGCCTCCAAAGACCCTTGGCGGCAACAGCAGCGCTGAAAGAGTAATAAAGTGTAAAGATGGAAGGACACGAATTCGTGTAATAAAAGGGGGCGGGGGTGCATGCTGCAAAGTGCATTCAATGCAAAGAAACGAAACAGTCCCCAACACTGCTTTTTATGAGCACGAAGAGCAAAAATTAACCACACCAACAAGCAAAAGATTAAAAAAATTAAAACAAACAAAGCCCGCCCCTTCCCCAAAGAATTCTCCCTCTTGTGCATTTTTTTTAAGCCCAATTTAAATTCCAGCCTTAATGCAGCAGATCCCAAATACCAGAATTTCTCCAAGGTACATGCTTGAGCTCTTTAAAATGTAGAGGGAAGAAGCATGAACTCTGCAGGGTTGAAGGGTCCGGCTAAGAGTAAAGGCAAGAAACCGACACAAAAGAGAAAGCAGCGCTCCCGGCCGGCGATGGGAATGGCATATACTTACAGACAAAAGCCCCGCTCCCTGTGCACTCTCTCCTCTCTACACCTGAAACACAAATGTGGATGAAAAAGGGCATCATGCAAGAAACAAAGC